AACGGGTTCAAATGAGAACCACCCTTTAAGGGTCCCTGGAGAAAAAAAAAATCATTGAGGCGCCATGGGATCCCTCAAGCAGCTCTGGGGCTGCTTATTTTTAGTGGTGCCCATTTATCGGTAGTAACTTAGAAGGATGCGAGTGCGACAAAAAGAATTGATTTTCTTCGCTAGGAAACATCAAGTTATAAACAATAATATATATTCACGAGAATCTTTTATTGCATTTAAAACCTGGTTATATCAGGCCGCCTAGAGAGTCTACTTTAAAACACACTTTCGACTTTCGTAATTTTTTTGTGCGATAATGAAATAGAAATGTTGATAAATCTAGCCGACCAAAAACTATAAAATAAGTGGTAAATTTTTCGCAGCAAAAGGTTCATGTAAAAAACAAGTGGTGGTCAAGAGTTGACACATTGGATGCAGACTGCTCATGGTGTGTTTTTAAACAGGTAGAACTGTCCATTGCAGCTTCGTTCGAAAACATTAAGATACTTTTCCGCTATCATGCAACAGCTAGGCAAGCTTACGATTGGCTAGAGTGAATTAGTTTTGTGTTTCCTTATGCATATGGGCACTGGGCTAATGGGGACCAAAATAAAATAGGGTATAACGGCATAGTCTGCTTCGTCGGCAAATACTGTAAAGCCAGAGAAAAATGACATAGAGTTTTTGTCATAACATATGCGTCATTTGTTTTAAATGAATATTGGCGCCGTGTATAACACAACGAGAGTATTTTCGATATTCGTGAAGCCGATCATTGTGCTGTTGGTACTGATGGGGTATATTCTAAGAGCACGTTTTTTCCCATGCGTGATACACTTCGGCCCATAAAGCACAAAAGGTGAAAATTGAGTACAACAGAGAAAACCATGCAGTGTAGTGAAATTGTAGTTTTAGTGTTTGCAGTTTTGTGTTTGTCCTTAGATCGTTCTTTCCCTCACTCCAGGGTTTACTGTGGTAGATTCAATCCAGTTCGTCTGTATTCTCGTTTTGGTTGAAAACTGAGCAACAATGATCGTTTTTTGTGAAAAAAGATTTCTGCGCACACATAAACTTCTCACAAAAAAAATGCTTTGTGTCACAGCTGTGGAGCAATTAGATATGGCAATTATGGAATGAAATTAGCGATTTGCTTTAAAAATAGATATTCACCTCATTCTATTGACGAATCTGACATTTTTTTATTTATTTTGAATTGTGAGGAAGATTTGTTGATGCTTAGCCAATGGGGTCTTTCTCACTTTTGTTCTCAACACATCCAAGGGTGGCTTCTCAGCTGCCGAATTTCATAAAGAAATACTGCCGGGCCACATATTTAAGTTATCAACCTGACAACGAGGAAACGGTATTGGCCGAATGCCGAGCGTACAGTAATGTTTTCCCACAACAACGGTGATCGTCCAGGCCTACAGCGGTCGTTCTGCTATCATAGATCATGCCGAATATAAAGAATTTATATAAAGAGTCGCATAAAATGATAATGCTTTGTGCACAAAAAAAATTGTGATTAACGTTAAAATCAGCACACTACTTGAGTAGCAAGCAATAGTACTTTTTTGTTAGTTAGTATACCTTTAAAGGGACACCAACAGGGTATTGATGCTCGAAGAGGTCTTTAGTTGTACGTGACATATGAGAGCCAAACTACCCAGAACAAAATTTGCGGCTCGATATTCGGTTTCTCATCGCCCGAAAACCACCGATCGAGAACTGGCCGCTATGAGTCGCGCTCACTCTCTTGTCACGGGCCGTTTCCTAAGGGTTAGACACGAACACCTAATTCAATCAAAGTCGTGGGTCATTGAAGGGACAAAGTTAATACTAAAAATAAAAAAAAAAATATGAAACTCATTTTTTTTTGGTTTTTAAAAAACTGCAAATACGTTGATTGAGAAAAAAAAAAAAAGAAGGTTGCGCAGACAACCGGAATCATTCTGTGCGTTCACTGCATAATTCTCAACTTGACGTCCTTTCGCGTTTGGTGGGACTCGCGGGTGGCAGCGGACCCCTACTTCAGAACTGTTGCTCATGGTACCGGCAGATTCTGGCTTCCATCAATAGAGAAATTTTGGACCGATGAAAATAATTGATATTCATCCCGTTCGACTCGCTCGACCAGCAAGCCGATTGCACAAAGACGTCGCCGAACCGACGACCGTTCTCGTGGCTGAAGACATAGCTCGCCAAAACGTCAAGCACGAAGTGCGTACTTCGAGTTGAATACGAACGCGTACGGTTTATTTACTAGTTGCGAATGTGGCCAATGAGTGTTGCTGCTTGACTCGAGGGAAATTGGTGGCAAACAGTCCGACATACAGTCTACCGACTGCATTACTACGAACGAAAGATTTTCTTCGGTAGCTTAGTGGAAAGACGTCCGCTTCACGCGCAGGGGGCACGGATTCGATCCCTTATGTAGGTGTGAATTTTTTTTTTTTTTTACATTTTGCGATGTTTAGATTACTCTTTTTTTTTTACAATTATCACCGAAAAAAAAAATTGTTGTGGACGATACGTCGCTGAACTAAATGGTATGTGATTCCATTTTTGACACCTCTGCCGCGTAATGCCACTTTAAGATGAAGGACATGTGAGACAGCTCTCCACGCAATATCTTAGGAGTGTTCTTTTCGGTGCCTATCCCGATAATTCACCACAGGCACTCACTATTCATTGCCAACACTTAAATGTACAAAACAACTCATCTTAATGTACAGAACAGATAGCGGAACTAACATAATTCCAAAGGAATCGCACGGCAGACGGATCCCGCAACGCATTTCGTCTGCTACGCACGAAAGAAAAAAGGGAGATCCCACGTTCGGGTGTAACCACGTCACTTTCGCCACTCACTCTCCCCTCTCCACTTCCCCATGTGGTGCGGGGCTTTCGGTTTCGGTTTCGAGCAGTTTAGTTTTTTTTTGGCTTTAAAAAGAAATACGCGACTCTGTAGCAAAATATTAATTGGGTTGTATTCCGACACCATAATAAATCGCCTGGCAAAAAAATAAAAAAAAATAAAAAAGATTGAGGGGTGCAGTGTTCATCTTAACGTTTTGAAGCGTTCCGCCCTCAAACTGAATCCTTTTATTTAGGGGGTATTCATAGTAAATAATTTTTATGTTACTCACGCTGAAGTGCAAAACAAATTTTCACAGTACCTCTTATGCTATCCCTAAGACGACTTCAAGGCGAAAGCCCAAGCGCCGATGCCTTAAATTAAATCATGCTACACATGATTTACTTTGTGTCCTGTTTACTTTTTCCACATTCTCTTTGTTACATTATTCGCTTTATAGTCCTTCTTATTCACATTATTACCTATTAGTTCTCTTTATTTTTTAATTAACTTTATTTCCTTTTCATTCACTTTAAGTCCTCTTAATTCGCTTTGTCATCCTTATTTTCATTGCCTCTGATTCGCCTGAGTGGTCACGTAAACGTTTTGGTAGCTCTGGTGTCGCCGACATGTTTTCGCTCAAGGACTTTGAAGGTCGACTGAAGGATCACACATATCATGCTTTCGCCTTAATGATGTATGGCTTTTTCCCGATTCTTTTATTGTTCTCATTTTACACTTTGTTGAGTAATATGAATACTTTTAGAGGAAATCTTGGGATAGTGATGTGAATTGTGGCGGATAATTTTTCATCTTTTAAAATCCTGTTCTCTAACGCAAATCCTCGCTCAACATAACTGCGTTTAAATGCTGTTCACAAAAGTTATCTATGATTTCTGTATTAAAAAGGAAAAGGTTTTCTCAAACACAACCTCATACACATCAAGGTTATGGAAATAAATATCATTACTAGTTTTCTTAAAGGTGAAACAGCTCATAGAGCAATGAAGCTCATAGAGGAAGAAGACTTGTGGATCATAAAGTTTTGCTTGTTGTTTTCTGTTCTTCTAGCTTTGCAAACGAATTCCTTTCATGAGCTCAAACCCTGTTCGCACTTAAATATAATATGCATCTACTACCCGACGACATGATTCTTACTTCTTTTTTTAATCATAGGTTCAAATTAGCTCAGATATTTAGCTCATTAGGCAAAGCAAACGAAACCGTAAAAAGTAATTTTTGAGCGTATATTGGAGAACGTAAATATACCCAAGCCTAGTAGCCACACATTTTGGCTGACTACCTTCACGCTGTCTTTTCGTTGTAGATGAGAAAATTTGCCAGTGCAGCACGGCTGCTAACCAGTTTTTCTTCTTTTTTTTTTAAGTGCATCATAAAGTATTGATACACGACCGCATTTCTGTGCAATTAAAAATCGGATCGGAACGGGCAGTGTTTGGAAGTGCTCTGCCAACGGTGCGTTAACGCTATGGCAAACACCGTTCTCAGGCATTTCGTTGTTGTTTATCTAGGAATGCTTATAGGCTAAGGAATATGAACCTACTTACTTATGTAGTATTACACGATTTTGTAATATCAGGAAAAATCACTAAATAACAATATCAGAGTTAAATATCAAGTTTAAATATTGTGCTCGTCCATTGGCCGTGTTTCATTCAAAATGTTAACGATAAAAAAAGCAAAAAATCGTGCCTTTTTCAAGATTTTTTCTTTTTTTTTGCCGGGGAAGAGGAAGGAGAGCGGGGTCCATTTTAATGTGTGCAAACTTAAAACTGAAGTTTAGGTTCTCACAATATTCAAGTCACTGAGGCACGAAATTAGCTCGCGATCATATTTTGTTTATTTAATTATTTTCTTTAATTATAAGCATATTTACATTTATGCAAAAAATTATTTACAACATTACAATAATAGCATCGATTGCTTACACTTTTTTGGTTTGAATGAAGTGCTCCAGTATATATTAGGTGAAAAAGTATCCCGTAAGACTAAGTATTACCCTACTAAGAACTACGCCTACACCAATGGAGTCACTCTAGATAGCCTACTATCTACGCCAAATTCCCGAAGCAGCGGAGCTGCGCCATTCATCCGGTTATTTGAACGCCGTTAAAACAGGGACTTTACTCACAGTAAACATTCAGGAGCCACTCATCTTGAAGAGAGCTGTTCTCGAGCAGCGGGTTGGAGGCGTCGCATGTGAGCAGCTTGCCATCGTGTTCCCTCCGCGGCGTAAAGCTCACCGCCGAGGTTGTCGAGTTCTCGTCCGGGGACACGAAGATGTAGGCGTCTGCGATGAGCTGACCATCCAGGCGCCAATAGACCTCCGCCGGCGGCCGGGAGCCTGAACTGACGCACTCCAGCTCCACGGCCTCCCCTTCAAACAGGTGGCCCCGGTTTGTGATGCGCGTCTTGAGCGGCGGGGCTGCAAAGGGTGTGCAACGTGGCGCCATGTCAATCCAATCTATCGCGTCCAACCCACTTTCTTGTCCGCGCATTGGTTATTGGTATAGGTTATGGCTAATTGGGCTCAATGTTTTCGTACAGCAATTGAGAAACTACGGGAAAGGTTCGTTTCTAGATAATATTTGAATGCAGCTAAGGCTCATCCTTCACCTATGCTCCGTTTTCTAATTAGCTTTCGACGCAATCGACTCAGCTGTCTTGAACTTGTCTCGATTTAGTGTTTCATTAGCACGGACTATTCCCTATAAATGAGACGCTAGAGGCGCTCTTGTGACAGTGTTTCGAAGCGCTGTCATGTATTGATCAGAGGTAACGCTTTCTCCCTTCGGCACCACTGTGATTCACGCGCATTTGATAGAACGGCAAAAGGCAAATATATCACAGTTGAAGTGGACCTTTAGAGCGCAGCTCTTAGGCGCCCGTTTCCGGCTTGAGCGGCGTCGCCGTCGCCGTCGCCATCGGCGTAACCAAGGTTACCCCAAGGTCACGTGACCCCTCCCAAGGTCACGTGAACCCCCAAGGTCATCATAAGGTCACGTGACCCCTTCCAAGATCACCCCAAGGTCACCACGTGACCCCTCCCAAGGTCACGTGACCCCGACCCCTGCCAAGGTCACCTCAAGGTCACGTGACCCCCAAGGTGACCCCCACGTGACCTCCAGGGTCGCTTGACCCCCCAAGGTCACGTGACCCCCCGAGGTCACGTGACCCCCTCCCCCCGAGGTCAGGTGACCCCCGGAGCATATTAAAGAATGCGGGGAGGAGGAGGAGAAGGAGGAGGGGTCTGCCCTCCCCTAAGTACCCTTCCCTCCCCCTCCTCAAGAGCTGCGCTCGAATTCGGCGTTACAAGGAGTTGTAAACGGCTCTTCTTTTGTTTCAAAGCCAACGTGAAAACAGTTTATTAGGGTACCTCATTTCTAGCTTTTATATTTTGATTTAGTCTGATTTTGTGGAGTGAATTTATTTCCGAAAAAAATGGTGCCTACTTGTGGTGAGAAACTAAAAAAGAGCCTTATTAAAAATCTCCATTCCCTCCGTATATGAGACTGCAATTAGCTAAATGAGGCTCATATCTTTCTTCACGAGAAGGTAAAGAAAAAAGTTTTTTTTTCCTTTTGAACGCGCAAGGACTGTAATTACAGGAACATATCTGCCGTCATGAAACGCAGAAGAAAAACGCGGCCTCCTCTGAAAAGCTCACGAGCACCTCCCTTAAGCTTTTGTGCGGACGAGCCAAGGTCGGCATCCCCGACGCCCATGCAAAAATGTAGACCGGCGTCTGGAATATACTTGTAATAGAGTAAAACAATATTTATTCAAAGAACAGAGTAGTCCAGAACGAACATTCTGTAGTGGTCGTTTTTACCTGTATCACAGCTCAGGGGCACGTGATCGCCGCATTTCATGACAGCACACCCCTTCGCCTTTTCACAGAAAGTCCAAAAGATAACGCGAAACATTTTGATATGCCCGGAACGTCTTAATTGTTGTGAATGAGTCACTACCTGCTCCATTGGAAGAAATAGCGCGACACTATCGCCCTGAGTAGGTTTATTTCCCGACGACAGATCAGCAGGACCCGCCGTTGCTTGGGGCGAATAGAGTGAAAACACTTGGGTTGGTCGCTCCGACTCTACGCTGCAGGGTTGTATGAGTATGAGAATTAGGGGCTGCGGGGACATGTCAATATTAAGAATAGATTCGCCTCTGGGGTGGACCCGGCTGGGGCGAAGATACTGTATGTGGCAATAAAGTTGTTATCACAGTTTTATCGGCCGATTCAACAACATCAACTGCAGTACCAGTCCGCAACTGGTCCATGTGGCGGCGCCAAAATTGTCCTTAACTTGCATGAACCATGTACAATTTGGGACTCGTGACTAATTATGTACTACCCAGCAGCCAGGCAGGCCTTACAGCAAAGTTTCAAGTTTGCACCTCATGGGCCGTGCTAAAATCACTCCATTTTCTATAGGACGTGTGGTTCCTGGTTCCTGTAGGAATCCTCACCTCGGGCATAGAGGTCGGGATCCAGGCCTGAAATCATACGTTTAACGCAGTCGTAGTTTGTTGACAAATGAATAACTCAGCTGGAAATCTCGCCCTTGTGAAGTGAGGCGTAGAATGCTGAGCGAATAACATCTTCACCAGGCAGTGTTACCAGACATTTGATTCCATAAGAAGAGGACCCTCATTCGTTATCGGTACCATTATTTCGGCTTGCTCATTGGAGCTTGGGTGGTAAGGGGTGACGGAAACATGCCACATTAAATTTTGTGAACATAATTCGTCGAATTGTGCTGGCGTAAAAGATCTCCGATTACATGAGACGGTATCGTCTAGCAGGCTGCGGGTGGCAAACACTGCACGAAGGTGGCGTACCCTTTATGACGCTGTCAATGATGTCTGGACTACTTCTAACCGTTTGGAACAGCCATCCATGAAATGAGAAATGTCTTGTTGAAATGTCTTATGTACATTGGCCAGCAAAATCTGTGTAAATGCGCGACCACGTCTTGGTGGTGCATTCCTATGGAAACATTCGATTTTTCGCAAGAACATAACGGCACTCCTGACGAGTGGGACATTGCCTAACCATTGCTTCAACCTTCGAGTTATTTTTTGGCTATCGGACATAATTGCGAGCCAAACCCTTCATTTTTACGATACCAGGACGACTGCCGTGAAGGAGCGAGAGCGTTCCTTTTTTTTGTTTTTGCTCAATGGCGGAACAAGCACACGACAGCCCTAGAGTACGCATTTTTTGTGAACTGACAACTCGAACCATCTTTGGGTGGAGGGTCGGAAAGACTCGTCGAGAGGTTGTTGGCCAATCATTCGACACGCAGAACAGGAACCTTGACAATGCGGGATCCCGACGGGTCTCCTCTGCAATTCGCTCGCTGAGCGTTGAGCGGAGGTTTGTGAGTGGCCTCTAAAAGTAAGCGGTGTATAGGTACAGCAGAGATCTCACCAGTAGAAGTCGGTAAAGGTACGCGAATTAGTTCACCCATGTTAGTCAGCCTTTTATTTCTAGGATGGTAAACAGTTCGTAGTCATAGGGTGAAAACGTCGGGCTCCCCTGCTGCGTCCGTAATGACATGACTTCCGTTATGAGCTTGCTTTGATGCATCAGTCCTAGGAGAGGCTTGTGGTTTCTACAAATAAAAGGTGACATCCGTACGAGAACCGGTGCAGTTACTTGACGTCTGTGACAATTGCCAAGACTTCCTTGTCACTTTGGATGTATTTGTGTTCGGTGGAAGTTAGTGCTCTTCAGAAGTGGGCCACTGGAGACTCTCGTTCATTTGGCATGGTGTGACTTCGCACGGCAGCCGCACCATAAAGGGGAACATCACGATCAAGCGAAAGAGTCAGAGCTTTGTTGTAACGTACAAATAAGCCATCGCTACGGAGAGTCTCTTTCGCCTGCAAATATGCTTCGTCATAAACCTTGCTCTGCTTTACAAGAGTTTGTGCAGAGGTTTCAACAACCCCCCCCCCCCCCCCCCCCCCCGCGGATTTCCGTGAAAAACCGTAGGAGTTTTGTTTCCCCTAAAATGCAAATAACTCGGTGCCATTACTCGGGTATACCTTCAACCTTATCCTTGGTTAGTCGGATACCCGTTGCCTTGCACGGTAACCAAGGCTAGGTATTGCTGACTGAGGAGAAAAAGCACTGCTTTTAGCGTAGGTGGTGTCCAGCCTCTGGGAGTCGCAGCAGGACCTCTTTCAGACGTTTATTGTGACTCGCCACAGTCCTTCTAGAGATAAAGATGTCGTCGAGGTAGCGGTCACATCTCATTCCCGAGAGAAACGTATCAATGAAGCGTTTAAAAATGGCAATCAAAGGTCACACCAAAAGTTAGCCGGCACACGCGGTACAATCATTTATACGTGGAAATAGTGGTGAGATCGGCAGCAGCATCTAACTTAAGCTTTTGGAATGCTTGCTCTAAATCTAATTTTGTGAGGAAAGTCCTACTAATACAACTGGACAGAATACGATGGGAAGTGAGAAACGCGTACACTTCAGCAATCAATATTGGATTACTAGTGCTGGGATAATTCCAGCAGAGACGGAGCTTATCATGTTTAATAACAACTTGCACGATCGGTGTAGCCAATTGGATGTCTCACGCGCTTCAGTATTTGTTGTTTAATAAGATTTTCCATTTTTGCTTAAACGAAAAGTTGATGAGCAAACATAACAGATCTAGACTTTAGGAGCTTTGGCGTCGAATTCGTTGTGATGGGCATTGATATGAATTCTCTACAGTGGGACCCAGGTTTCCTACAAAAACATCAGGGTAAAGTAGAAACAACCATGAGCAGCGTAAAGAGTTCACATTTGAAACATCAGTGCCAAATTCTCAAACCAAGCACGGTCAAGAAGTTTAACCTGTCCTCTACTGACAAGGAAAATAAAAGCGTGGTGAAGCCGCACGGAAAATGTACGCGAAATCCAATGTTCCCAAATACGCTGAAGTACTGCTTTGTCGAAATTGTAAGCAACTGGCCAGTTTTTAGCTAGGTGTGCAGGAACGCGTTCTTACAGTGTTTTCTACGTTTCCTCACAAATATTTTAATACGACAGCTCCGCTATTCACTTCTATAGAAAACGGACCTCCTTTGTGAGTCGCCTCTACCATATAAAGGCGCATATTTTTATTTTCAACTGCGTACACATCAAAATATGATAAAGGCTCTGTTTGATCTTCCTGCACCACATGTGTGGCATGAGCGTCGTTCATCTTCGATGCTTGAGGAAGACGTTGTTGCTCCCTCTCTTTTGCCATACAGACCTCCTCGAGTTGTCCCACCTTATTGCTGTAGCGATACACGCTGTTTTTGAGTCGGTAACTAAAGGGCCAGTGTTGTCCTCCGCATCGAAATCAATACGCACCTACTTTTTGAGGACCGATGCGCTGAACAGCGTTGAGGCTGTGTGAGTCCACG